TATATATACAGTATCTCACAGAAGTGAGTACACCCCTCACATTTTTGTAAATATTTTATTATTTCATGTGACGACACAGAAGAAATGACACTTTGCTACAATGTAAAGTAGTGAGTGTACAGCTTGTATATCAGTGTACATTTGCTGTCCCCTCAAAATAACTCAACACACAGCCATTAATGTCTAAACCACTGCAACAAAAGTGAGTACACCCTGTTATGGAAATTCGCTTGGTTAAACGCACAAATCCATGTCGCATTAAGCTGCGCCAAACACAAAGAATTTCCCCCGTTGTACTACGCTCTTTTGTGCAAGGACTGGAAGTATCCCCTTCAGAGTCATGTAGAGTCAGGAGACATGTGTTGCTTGCTTGATAAACCCATGCTTAGAGACAGAGCACAGGTATGTTTATTGTTTTATACCTCCCCAACAGGAAGTGATGTCAGACAGGAAATGGGGCAGACAGGAAGTGATAGCAAAACAGGAAATGGGGCAAGACAGGAAGTGATGTCAACAACCAGCAAACGATTTCAAGAACCAGCAAACCAGGAAGTGAGGTTAAGAAGCACTTCCTCAATACATAGCCAGTCTACAAAACACATGAGTAGAACAATCACATGTAGTAGAATAATCTATGACCACCGGAGTGACTTTATCCAGCATTGCTCAGTGATCAATGCCACATAACGTTACTGTGATTCTCATGCGTGCGTAATTACAGGCAAAGTCATTATCTCCAGCGGGTTGATCAGACTCACTAGGGAAAATAAACGCACGTTCCTTTCATATACTGCGCTCCAAACAAATGTATCCACGCAAGCCAATAAATCCATGCATTGCATGGGGGGCCCCAGCCGTGCGTCCATACATTCGCCAAGAAGACACTGCTCCGCCGCGCATAAGATATCTACTCCAATGGTTTAACCCCCCAGTGTCTATTTAAACCGAGACACTGAGAGACTAATGACAAAACATTACAATACACTAAAAACACATCCTAGTAAAATTTCCACAACA